TTTAAGGGGATGTTCCCTGTTCATGTGGAGTTCAAGAATTTCAAAATAAGCCTTCTGGTGTGCGTGGTTCTCACGTACGGGCACTTAAACATTTTGGCGGGAAAATTGCTCACTGAGCTGTTCGCTAGGTTACTTTTGATGAAGGACTGTTGAATGGAAATCGTACGTCGCTTTATGCAAAATTTGTGGTGATTTACGCTAGTGAGCGTAAAAGGTAGGTGTAAAGCAGTAATCATTCATGCAGTTAATGATCTGAATACTTCCTTTCAAGTCTGGAGCAAAAATGCATGATCGTACTGGCAAGCCTGGTGCGTTCCAGCCTTTCATTTCTGTATTAGTGACTCTGCAGCTCCACAGCTGGCAGTCTTTTATTGACCAACTTTTATTAACCTACAGTTTATTTAGCAAGTTTCCATAGTTTTTGCATAAAACGAAAAATACTGCATTTTACGGTACCTCCGACTTCTTGTCAGTGTCCGATTCTGCTAGCGGGACAGCCAGTCTCTTTCCGATTCATCATTCGTTTTGATGGTAAATTGATAAGCTGTGCCGGAAGTCTAAACCGTAATTTCTCTGCATTTAAGCAGCCTTCCGAAAAGGGAGCCGTTGATAACCCTACCGGCGGTACTGCTGTTGGAACGACTACTTTCAGTGACACCTGTGTTACCCATAAAGGGTGTATGAGGAGGGGTCCTCAACTTGCCGTAAATTTCTCGTTAAAGAACGAAAACTATTTTAAAAGGTTAAAAATCGAGAATTATTTTAAATTGTTCTTTCGCGAGGAATAATCAGAGGAGTCGTTGACTTTATGCGAATAGTTGAATATTTAGAGTTGCAAATATTATGGTAATTGCCGTCGAGGAGAATTCTCGAAATATGCTTCCCACGTCATCGCTGCGAATTAATCCGAAGTACGCTCAGATAGCTGAACTTATCCCGGGTCTGTACATCTGTGGGGTGAGTTCGCTAACCGTGGACAACATCGAACAGTATAACATATCACTGATCATCAATGCAACCAGCGAGGTTTGTTTGTCCAGGATTTTGTTTGCCTTCAAAAATATTTTCATAAAATTTAAAATTTTACTCTTCTTTAAGAGTTTGAAAAGTTTTTTATGGAAATTTCGAAGCATTTCCAAAGTTTAGAAAGGCGTTGCTCTTAATGAATATCATTTTTTATGTTTTTTGCAGCTATGCAGTGCAGAAAATGCGTATTGACAGAGGTGTTGTCTGTGTGTGTTCGTGTGTGTGTCCATGTGTGTGCTCTGCGTCTGTACAGATTTTTCATCTCGAGATCCACAAAAGCTACGGGGACGAAACTTGGGGAACTTAATCTACATGTGTGTACGGGCCCCCACTTCCGAAATGGGCGCTCTTATTCGCGGGCCCGTGAAAATTTTTCACGGGTAAGTCGCTAATCGGAAATCAGAAAAGCCAGAAAGCTGAAATTTTACGGGGCATTCCCCGCCCACGTAAGTCTCAACGAGCTCAAACCCAGACATCGGGTATACGTGGTACCCACGTACGAGCCCGTCAAATTTTTTTTCGGGTATGTTGCTAAATTGAGTACCTGAAAAGCTAGAAAGCTGCAATTTTAAGAGGATGTCACCCGCCCAAGTAGGTATTGATGAGTCCAAACCCAGCCCCCGCGTATGCGTAATACCCATGCGCAGATTCATCAAATTTTTTCTCGGATAAGTTGCTATAACTCGAGAACCTGAAAAGCTAGAAGACTGTAATTTCAAGAAGATATTCCCCGCTCACGTAAGTCTCAACAGACTCAAACCCAGACATAGGGTATGCGTGGTACCCACGTGCGGGTCCGTGAAAGTTTTTTCGAGTAAGCTGCTAACTCAGAAGCCAGCAAAGCTAGAAGCTGAAATTTTAAGAGAGTGTTTCCTGACAGTTCTGGCGGCCAGTCTTAATTTGTTTAGCTAGAAACATTTGCTGGGAGAACCGGTGCCGGTAGCGACAAAAACTGCGGGGAATTACCCAAAAAACGCATGTTTGCACGAGCAGTCTGTGCTTGGCCAATTATTTTGACCTATAGGTACCGAATGTGCGGGCCCTTGGTGGAATTGCACGAATCAAACTATGGGTGGATGATACGCCGACAACGAATATTTATCAGCACTTCGATCTAATCAGCGACCACGTAAAATTTTTACTTATTCCGCCACTGTCACTGTCTTCATTCTCAATAACAATGGTAATTAAAATATTACCAACGGCAGCGGCAGTAATAATAGTTATAATAATGGCTGTAACAATAACAAT